TTGTTTGCACCAAACTCAGCAGTGCAGATGGAAACTTAAACACCGGAAATTTCATCTGCCTTCTACAAGAGATCATAACGGCTATTACATTATTTTTATAAATAATTCGCAAAACAGTATGATTTATTTAGAGCTGAAAAAATATACAATCGAACATTAAAGATAACTGAGCGATACAGTGGAATATCGATCATTAAATTTGCGAGATTTACTTACAAATTAAGTTCTCTATGCATAGGCCTGCATGCATGCATCTCACCGTGGTAAAGGTTCCAAGCAGTATTATTAATTATAATAGTATACAGCAATCGGTGACTTAAAAAAAAACAGAAATGGCGGGGAATAAGATTTAGTCACAATCATACAGCAGATGGTTATCTGCTTCATGGCACGTCTGCAAAATAAATAAAGGTAGGCCGACATGAAGTCATATTTTGATTTTGAAACCCCATAAGATCCTATTAAAACGGAACTGACATGCCACTGTCAAGGGAGGTGAAGCTGCAAGGTTTAAGTTAAAATTTGTCGTACTTAATTTCTTTATGTAAGCCTGTTACCTACTTGCGTCGTGTGAGCTTTATTCAGGGAAGCTTTAATAGAGGGGCTTATGTAAATGTGTGTATAGCGTAGTATTTCTGCTTTGCTTTACTATATGGTCAAATAGATTGAGAAAACATGTAGACTACCGCTAAAATTTAAATACAAGTATTAAGCAAAAATATATAATTAAAAACGTCAACAATGTCTAATATATGTGAATCATGCCCGTATGCGGTTTTCGATCGGGGAGAAGTTCGGTTCCACTTAGAGAACCTATTAAATCGAACTGTTCGTTTAAATGAATCGAACATTCGATTCAAATTAAGACTCGGATTTTTTTGGTGGGTGGGGTGGCAGTACATACTGCTGCACTCTGTTTAGTTACTTTTATTGAAACGTCATGTTAAAATCTTTTTTTTAAAAAAATATTGATCATCTGAGTATTGTGAATGTATATCGATCACTTCAGGACTAATTAAAAATGAAAAATAATCACGTACGCAAGCTTTTTGTTTTAAAACTACAAACATTCAGCTTCCAAAAGCCTGATAAAATCTCGAGTACCTTGTGAAATTTGCAAACATATATAAAGGGACACTCAATAAATAAATAAATAACATTACAAAATATTCATTTTTATAAGAAAACACTAATGGTCCCAGAGCACTATATTTTATATACATCTTATATATTTATAACAGAGAAGGGCGAATCAAGTGTAATAAACAAAAAAATTAACATCTGATTTCGCAGTGTCTGAACTGTTTTTTCTTTTGCCGTCACGCATTTGCGTTGCTGACAGACTCGCGTTATTGGACAGAACTGCAGCCTTCTTTACAAGAATGGATTTGTTTTGCAGAAACTCTTCATGCTCTTCACTGTCTGGCCTTAAGGTGAACAATCAACTTTGACGTGTTGAAATGTTTATGAATATATCATCATTGTACATTTTTCTAACGAAGTTAAAATAATTCTATACAGCAAAAAAAATTCTGTTTCGTACGCAGGCGATATGGGTCACCATTTTAAAGGGAATTATCGGCGGTAAATATCGGCTCATTTTTAATATCTTGCAGATGGCCGATATCTGCCAACAACGATAGCTGGCCACATTAACGTAAATTATGGGGGTGGGATAGGGTTTAAAGCCCCACCCCCCAATAATCAAAACCAGCCAATACAAGGAGGAGTGTCATTTCCCAGAGGGACCAGTTGTCCATTTGGCCAACCCTGACACGGTATGCCCTTGGTACCCGTTCTGCAACACTTGCTCCGTAGTGATGAAAATTTGTCGAAACGACATGGTGCCGTCAGGCAGCAGGTGAAATGTGCTATACCTGGATTTCCTGGCTTTCATCCTTCTTTTCCTTTAGTGTGGATCATAGCGGAGTTTGGGGAACTCCTGAGCATCAGAGTGGGGACCCAGCTGAAGTTCCAGACTCACGAGCCCGTTTGGTCTCTCTCTGATTTCGGAGTTTTCAGTTGCTTACATTATTTATTTTTTTTTTTAAAAAAGGTATATACCATATAGGTGAAATGTCTAGAAGGCACGACGATATGAAAAAGTAGACTATGCATAAGCTTACACAGTACTCCCATAGTATTCTTAGGGCATGTCCCTACCATCCATACTCAGGGAAGCACCTCTACCATATCTACAATAGACTAATTGTTCACGAATTATTGTTTTTATTTTTTAAATGAATCGTTTAAGTAATTAAAATGATCTGTCCTGTTAAATCCCCCCCCTGCAATTTTTATCATGAGACACCCTCATTTTCTGAGTGCAGTGGAACTTGGCTTTGTGTTGATAATGGAATTTGGCCCTCAGGAAAAAATAGTTGTGGGGCCCCATCTCTATTATAATAAAAAAAAAACAGCCACCACAATGTACTTCTACAGGTCTTAATGTCTAACTTTGTCTTGTGGACAAAAATTAACTGATGCTTAAACAAACTTAAGTGTAGAAAAGCAGGAAGCCGGTCTTAGTATTCAAATGCAAAAAAATCATATCTGTAGTTACTACACGGTCATGAAGTAGGCCTATATTCCTCCTAGCCAATGACTTAAGAAAAGAAGGACATTATCAAGGGGTAAGTTTGAATAATTTCTATAACTTTGAAAACATCAGTGAGCAATGTTAATTTTATCACCAAAAATGTTGATGTAAATATTCATTGACAACCTTTTATTTCATGACTATATCACAACGTAATTGTAAGTTACGGTGAAATCTCTGTTCGTTATACCCTGACGATTAAAGACCAGATGAAATTGCTGGCTCTGTTGTGGCAGACAACCTAAGTCACAGTAGCCATCTTAAATCGTTGTTTTTTTTCCTTTTAAACTAATCATTTACTGACGCATAAATGTGCAAGTGCACGTACCAGTTCTCACCATCTCATTGGATTATTTGTTTTTCCCGCTTGGTGCATGTCTGCACAAATGCCAGTTTCCAGGATAACTAATGCTAAGTTCACACTACATTATTTTAGCCCCAATTTTCTGCGCACGAACAGTTTTTGGAAATTGCCGACAAAACCCCCAGATTGGAGGTAAATCGGTGTGCGATCGGCCCTAGCAAATCGGCACTCAACCCCGGTGTGTGAATTGATTGAAGACGCGACCTGACGGAGTCGTCAATGCATTGCAGGTGCCTTTCAGAGATCTAGCAGGCTAAATATCTGGACCTGTCAGCGTTGCTAAGTCCCGTGGGTGTGAAAAGTGCGGTGACTGGCGTTGAGTGTGGCGACAAGCCACAGCCAATGAGAGCGCGAGTTACAGAGTGAGGGCAAACCCAAGGGAAGAATTTAAAAAGGTGTAAGAAGTTCAATTTGTTTAGGAACTGCACTTAGTATTCAGGGATACACACACGTATGCAAGGGTCATCTTGGAGAGAAGTGCCTTCCTGAAACTAAATCGAGATAAGTAATCTGTATCTAGTAAACAGAAGGAAAGGCAGATAAGATTAATGCTTAGTCCTAAACGCCACACTAATGTCCCTTTTTTGCAATTTCAGCGATTTTACTGTATTATGTACTTTTTTTTTTTGAAGATGGGTTATTGTAAAATGTGAAGACAGGTTTTGCACACAGTTAAATGGGTGGTTGATAGGTGTTTTAATGCCCTAATAACAAAAATTACTACAGTATAAAATGGACAAGAAGTTAAATTTGATGGGTGTTTTAATGCCCTAGTAACAAAAATGAAACCGTGAAAAGTATGTTGATGTATAGAAAGAATAAATATCTGAAGGAAATATGATTGCATTGAACTTTTTCTAAGAAACTTTAGGCATTTTAATATATGAAAGGAGCATGATGAGTCAGCAACATATTCACAGCCTAGACGGGCACACCCTGTGATGCTTGGTTACGTATGAGGTACGTTTACTTCTCAAGGGAATTTTTACAGGCAGGAGAAATATCCTTAAGCAAAATCCATTTCAGTATCGTGAACCTGTCTGACAAAATAATAAAATGTAACTGTAATCTAACTACAATTTCTAGTGATAAAACTAAATAAAAAATTCTTGCCAAAATTAACAAAGCAAAGCAAAACAAAAATTATATTAATCAAATAGTTTAAGCAAGAAAAGTTCATGTCTTGTATCACATTAATGTGGTTGGGCCATTGTCTCGGTGATTGGAAAGTCCAGGGATTATAACTGCATCACCATTGGGCCCCTGAAAATGGCCCTTAACCCCATAGGCTGCTCTACTGATGCTGTAAAACTGACAAACCCTGTGCTCTGGTCCCAGGCTTCACTCTCACCTCTATACGAGCGTCTCATAGGAGGGCATGATGGGATATGTGACAACTAAAGGATTTCCATGTACTTGTACAAATGGTGAATAAAGAACCATTTGAGGCAAAACAAGTTACAGATGAACACATCACTCACTTATTTAACACATGCTTAGAAGAGTAATTCTGATGATTAAAAAATTTGACTTAACAGCAGTTTATATATAAATCCTTAAAATCCATTAAATATTATCCATTCAGGAAGTGAATATCTTGTTCTAATTAATTAGTACTGAAATATAAGCTAATATTATAATAGCTGATTAGATAGGTTCTTGGAGCTCAATATTTGTTCTGAAACTCATGCCTGCATATTTTGGAAAATGGGATTTTGTAAGAAAGATCATTCCGTCAGTTTAAAGACTAATCTAAGCAGTATTTAAAACTGGCCAGAGATCAAGTCTAACCCTTTGGAAATAGCTTGAAACTCAAGGTCTGGTGTTCTCTGCCATGGATCAGAGCTACCAAATGTCCTTGCCCTGTCAGCATCTGAAAGGGGACAAAAGTTTGCTACTAAATCTAATATCTGATACCTCAGGAAGGCACTGAGATTTTGAAGAGGTCAGTAGAGGTCAGGCCCTGGTTGTCCAATTGGACACCCACACCCGACCACCTAAAAGGACCAGAGACACAAAAATGAACTGACATTTTCATACATGTCCACTTGGTTCATTTATTTTTATCCTTATGACCTCAAAAACAAATAGCCAAAAATACATTATAGATAACCAATACACTGAGTATGTATTTCTTCAGTTTCATCTAGAGAAAATACAGTCGGGTCATTCACACAAGACTTTAGACTTGCTCTCGCTTTCCAAGATGCTGAAGAACACAGTGATCCACCAACTGATCTGACCTGGTAAGTGAGGGCTGAGCACTGAAACAGGACCTTTTTTTTTTTTTTTTAAAACGTAGGAAAATTTCCTGTTTCTTTGCAACTTCAGATACAGCCTGTGCTTGTTCAACCTCCCTTCTTTTCCATAAGTGTATGGACACTCCCAAGTGCCCGAGGACGGGGTCACATGACTCCGGGAGTGGGTGTGACCACAGCCGGCGGTGCCCGAGGACCTGGTGCTGACTGGCAGCGCGAGCCAGGCGCCCAGGTCCGCAGCCAATACCAGAACAGAAGCTCAGCATCTCACACCGAAATTGTGTGTGGTTTTTTTGTGTGCCCAACCTGTCTAATGGTCATGTTTTTTTTTTGCCTTTTCTCATCAGAAAAGCAGACTGGTTTCTTTGTAAAGCACAACCATATAAACAATTACATTTTTTTCATATTTACATTCACTCAAGTAACATCAAAAGCAGCCACCGTCATTGTCATTCTCTGTGTACAGAATGCCTTCTAAAGTAGCGTGCAGTGTCCAGTGGTGGGGGGGGGCCTTTAACGGTTGGCACTGGAAGGTTTGAGTTTTTTCATCAATTTAAAAAAAACAAACAAAAAAAAAAAACTCCAAGGTATGACCCACAGACCGACTGCCGTGTTTCTTAGCACAACCATTTTAATAAATCATTTTTTCTTGGGGCATCAAAAGAACAAACCTAAATATAGGCATTAAAAAATCCAGTATAAACTAAATCTTGAACTAATAAAACTTAAAAAACAAAAAAAAATTAAAAGTGCATTTGGGATAACCATCAGGGGAGATAAAAAAGCAAGCGAACAGGGAGGCTGCAGCTGTCGAGGTGCCGGCTTGACGCAGTGGGTCTGGGGCCCCTTGTGTCCTGCTCTTACCACTCCTTCTTCTTTTCGTCCATCGACACGCCACCGGGCCCCAGCGCCACCACCAGAAGAAGGCCCCCGATCACTGACATGGTCTGAAAGAAGTCATACTTGAGGAAGTCGTGCATGGGCTTGTAGGCTGGTACTGTCCAGAAGGCGTTGAAGTAGACGTTGATGGCGAAGAGCCACACCACCAGTGTGAGGGCGGCTAGCTTTGTCTTGAACCCCACGGCCACAAGGATGATCAAAGCCGTGCCGACCATGTTCTGTAGGATCTAGTGGTGGAAGAAGTAGAGTGAATGGGTCAGGAGGGGATGTGCATTATCATCAACTACCATCCCGCACCAAACATCTTCTTACAGTATTTTCAGAATGGGTACAAACTTGACCTGAGCTGACAATGATGTTACCCTTTCCCACAGTAATCCTACAGTATATTTGACAAAATTCTTAATATGCTAACAAATGATGTAGAAAAGCAGCAGAATTGTTCATTTTGGACTATGAAGTAGATGCAACCAAATGTGGAGTTGTGGCACCTGCTCAGTTGTGCTCAAAGGTCAAAGCTGGTTATTTTCTACAGACATGGACGCCAACACTGCACAAGATTCTTAGCTAACAGCGCAGACAAGCTTCACCATCTGTGCAGTCACAGATATGTCAACTTCTTACACGTCCATAAGGAAACTCACAGAGAAGAAGCTGGTGTCGAAGTGCAGAAGGGTCATAAACATGAGGACCAGGAGAACACGGCCTCCCAACTGCATGTACTGCTTAGGAGAGCTCTCGCCCATGGAGGGCACCCCAGCAAACATGCTCTTCCCCTCTGAGCGAGACTCTGCCAGCAGCAGCAGCAGCCCCCCGCCCAGGGCCAAGTTCCTAGGAAGAAAAGGAAATAAATAATAAATAAATAAATAAAAAAGGAAGAGAAGGAAGAAGACCTGACAGAGCAGATCGCCTCAGTGGAAGTCAGCTTTGACAGAAACACATTTAAGTGCTAAAATGTGTACAAAATGTGACTCCAAAGCATTTCATATTTTAATCACCCGCGTCATCTTGCCATTTTATACCAACTACTCTGGACTCACCTCATTAAGAACTTAAGATCCCACAAAATGCTGTAGGCGATCGTCTGGGGGAGAGAGTAGATGAAAATCAGAGTAGATGAACTCATATTATAAATACTTCAAATATTTCAGAAGAACAATTAAGGCTCATTTATACCTTTGTGCAGAACTTATGCCATAGAGACACAGCTTGACGTGCACTTTCCCAGAACTAATGACAAATCACAGTGACGCAAACCACAGTGACAGTGATTGGTCCGCTTGGTAGCATCACACATCCTCCTATGCAAATGTTTTGTTGTAGTTCATTTCCAGCTGGGGGGGGGGGGGGGGTTTAGTGTGGGAGCTGGTCTCAAGCCTGCTGTTTTTGCCACAGTTGGAATCGTTCATGGTGTTAAAAAAAATAGATTGCAGCCGTTCACACCAAGACTGCATGATATTGGAAAATTTCAGATACCAATGTGATTTTTTTGCGATAAATGTAATATTTATAAACCAAAAACCCATCTATGAGTTATAATATACATTTATAAACCCATCTATGAGTGATTCGAACAGCAAGGATGAAAATCATTATGATTGGCTGAGAGAGTGCATGTAGAGCTCATGCAGAAAGCAGCGGGGATAAACTTTGAAATGATTTTTATACGTATGCTAGATAATCTTGAAAAGGAATAATCATTCAAACTGCAAAGTTTGCCAAGTTTTGTTTCTTATAATAGAGTAAAAATGTTTTAGCAAAAACTTAAACCCACTGCAGTCAGCCAACAAGCATTTTGGCGGTCTAACTGCAGAGCGACACAGACATTCAAATGCACGAGTATAAATGATCGCAACGGCGTAAGCCATTTGCGTTGGCTACTTCGTAAGCTCTGCGTGGGCTTGAGGCAGAAGTGTGACTCACCCTTAGAAACTCACCTGTAGAGCTATAATCCCGAACAAACCAAAGCAGGCATACTGTACAAAATTTCTACTGAGGATAAGGACACAGCCCCCTGCCAGAGAAGTACAGAGAATTTAGTTCATGAGGCGACAAACAAAGCTTATTACAAAACACTGCGACGCCCCATGTCACTGGTTAGTCTGGACCTCAGCTCAAGCCCCAACCAAGCCCTTTAAATCCCCCATTAACTCCCAGGAGGCGGTACTCCCTTGAATCAATCCCATTGTTTTTTTTAAGTGGGACTTTCTTTCATTCAAAACCCAGAACATAGATGCTGTACCCACAATCCCTCTCTCACCCAGCTGTCCTAATAAGTTGAGCAGGACGAAGCACGTGGCCAGGAAGTAACCACAGTTCCAGGTGGCCTCGATGTAGTCCCTCTGCTCGAACCACTGGAACCACATTCGGATGCCGTCCTCCAGGAAGGTGCTTATCAGGCACAGGCGTGCCAGGTGGGGCAGGTACTGCTTTGTCACCCGCAGGAACTGGGAAGGGCGCAGAGGGAGATTTCAGAAATCGAGATAAAACAGTGACAGCAACTGATTGGGTCAACAGGGGGAGGAGACAGAGGAGCAAGAGACGTTTCATGGAATAGCAATGCAGAAAAAGACCTGAAAAAACAAGGCAAGAAACTGGTACAGAGGTCATATGGGACACAAGTCCGATTGCGGCAGCCTCCATGAAAGAGCACGATATCTCAGAGAGCTTATGGTAGGTGGACCAAGCAACTTGTAATGTTTGGGCTGAACGTCTCCTCTATATTCTGAGGATTTTAGATTATAAAAATACTACCAACTGTGTGAAAGATCCAACAACAAGTTCATATTTATGTTACACGCAGAGCTGTAATCCCTGCCACCATTAGTGCCCTGTGCACCACAACAGATGCCAGGATTCCCAAACAGATCCAGCACGAATGTAACTGCTGGGGATAGAACTGTCCACAGATCCATTATGATCCATCAAACTGAAATGCCAGTGAAAGGCAAAGAATTTCTGGGCAAATTCATGAAATCCTCCACTACGGAAAATGGATGATCATCCAATGCAATCATCTCCATTATTTTTGTATGCCTTTAGCTCTGGTGCTACCAACTTGTAGTACTGACTAAATGGCACGAACATGTGCCATTTCTGGACGTGTCGGATTACAGAAAACATTATTGCAAGATACTATTACATACAAGTATTGACAGTTCCGGGAGGACACTATCGCAATGTGCCCTACCCAAGAAAACATAGCTCAAGGTTACCATTCGGGATTGTCACCCAGAAAAGGATGATACTTACACAGCCAGCCACTGATTCAAAGAGTACAATAAAAACACAGATAAACAAGCATCCTGAAAACTCATCAAAGTTCAAAAGACAGGTCACAAAGCAGCTCCGCAAGCCTGCTTCTGTATGCGTTTAACAGTCCTGCAGCACAACTGAGTATGAAAGACCACAATAAATACATCTACATCACAGTCCTTGGAAGGCTGTGCTATTATCGTGTTACTAGAATAGGTTGTTTAAATACAAAACGTGTGTGAAGGGTTATGTAAAACACAGGCATTTCTGATGCAGTTCTTGTAGACTATGTCAAATGCTCGCAAACTTGAGTGAGCTAGGCCCTGAAAAACAGGTTCTGGAATTAGGCAGGGATTACTGGGCAATAAACCAGTCAGGAACGCATCTTACAAAGGATCCTCGTGTGTGGTTCCCCAATAGTGGAAAGAGTCACCAAACCACATCCACTCAGAGTATCACTCCATCTCCAAGAAAAGCCTCAAGAGCCAACTATTCCAAGAATTCCTAGCTGCACTTCGGTCTGACCAATTTCTCGATTGCATGTATGTTTGTAATGTGCTACGTGCCTCATTTTATACATCGCTTTTGACAAAAGTGGCTGCTTTATAATAAATGTATCCAAGTTGACAGATTCCAACAACAAACAAGGGGACACAAAGCTGCCACAAGGAACTGAATGTTAAAATACCTGAAAAATATTTCTACTTTTCCATCTTACTGACTATATCACGCTGTAAACTAATTTAAAAAATTGATTCCGAGGAAGCCCAGAATCTATCACACCTTCAATCACACAAGTAACAATGGCAACTCTCAGACAGATGAACACAGTATCAGACACAGCTCAAGCACAAAAGGCAGTGCTGAATCACTGGCTCTATGCTGTGTGTTCCCTGCAGCTCTTCCTTTATCAATCCTCTCCTGAACAGGAAAGGAGGAGAAGCCCCTGGCACCAGGTAATCATCTGTCCTGCTGTCATTAACCCACAACCACTTGACACATTTAGGCCTAATGAGCAAGCTGATGCGATTTGACAGGGAGTCACTGAAGATCAGATACATCCATTTTGCCTCAAGCATTCCAAGGCATTTAATACTGATAATATCCCAGAGAGCATGTTTAATGTTTATCAGAGGCTGATCTACCAGCCAGAAACAGAGAATGAACAAAGGCCTTCAGCCCTGACAAAACGTTTGATAGTAAAAACACCTAGAAAAGAAGTCAAAATCATCACCTTCTGAGGGATCTGACAATGGGAGAAAACCTGAACACAATATCTGCTGCAAAATTATAACTCCTCTAACATCTGTAAGTGATGTGTCTTGGCATGAAACGACCTGGTGCATTCTGTTTTTGTCTGTCAATATTATATCACCATCAGTGATTATCAGACTAAAGATGGTGTAACTTAATTTCCACATCCTCTTTTTTTTGTGCTGAAGACAAGGACCACATGTGCCAATCATGCTAAAACAAGCCAACCACCACTGATCAAGCTTTTATGTTGACATACATTTCCCAGCTTTTTAGAAATTCAAATTTGGTTTGTTTGTTTTTAATTAATATACTATTGCGGCCCAATTTCCGGAATATAAACTCAGCCAAAAGTAAAATATGTGGGTTATCCAAACATAACTGAATTAACCTGCAAACATGTTTTAGCAGATCACCAGCTGTCTATACAAAAGAATTCTTTAAAGAATTCTAATCAAAATTACGTAGCTGAAAAACTATAAAACAAATTTAAGAGGGTAAAAAAGGCTTAAAAAAACAAACAAACAAAAAAAATTATTTAAAACAAATTAAGTGTTAAACCATACTGGTATACCATACATAAAATGCTTTTTATAAAAGAAATTATTTATGCATTATACATCGATATAGAAAGACAAAAAACTGTTTTTCTACTTCAGACGGAATTATTAAGTTAGACAATTGCAGCCCTGCCGCTATCAGCCTCCTTTAGCTCCACCCACAGAAACGCTCCACATCAGCATTACCGTCTTATGAGCAGCCAATCACGGTTCAACAAGTACCACGAGTACTACGGCCCTAGTGAATGAAAAGCCAATCAGAATGCATGCCAAGTGTCCATGGCTCAAAGTGGAGACTTTTCCGACGGCACATAGATATAATTATCAGCCTTCATAGAAGTTCCAAACTTGCTTTAGATATAGGAAACTACATTAATAGAATACATTAGACCAAAAACACGTTAATTAGTAAGAGACTGATATCTAGTTCTACTAAACATACACTTGAAATTTAGCTGCATTAACAGATAAAGGGGGTGGACTTGGGAAAATTAGTAAGTATAACAGAGGAACCATTATTACACTAGAACTGGGAGTTATTGTTTCCAGATCATTACAATCCTCCACTAGTTTGGAGCTGGGAATATGTTAATTCTCAGTTCATAACTCTGCCCTAAAAACAACAGACAGAAAAGAGACACATCTTGGTGATTTAGTACAAGACGCAAAATATCCGAGGGAAAGATTCAATTTGATTTACTTAGACTTCCCTAATAACTGCCAAATCAGTGCCATTAAATAATACAGACTGCTACGAGAACTGGCACCCAAACTGAACGCAGTCATTGCGTGTTCTAATGAGCCTGCAATATATTACTGTATAGCAGGTGAGGAACAGTGGGCAATGTCATTTCTCAATTTCAGCGACAGAAAAGTGCAAATCTGACGGTGTCGCGCCGTTTGTTGCACCAGGCAGCATTCAGGGGAAGAGGGCAAAACCCTCATCAGAGTCATAAAAATGAAGGGTCTGACCGAGACAGAGAGCAACACGCAATGCTACTAGACAGGAAAACAAGAGCGACTTAAAAACACAGGACGTGACCATTTAAAAGGATTTATCCCTGTACAATTGTCACAGCCCTATTCTTTATAAACTAATCAATCCCACATACATGGCAACGTGCAAAAGTTCAAATGTAATCTGTACAGTAAATCTGCGCTGAGATTGACTGAACTGAGCACTGGACGAACCATACCCTAGTGTGACCCACATGCACGATTTAAACGACAAAACTGGAATAGGGTCCACTTCCAATTAACCAGCACCCATCACCGCGTGCCAGACCAGTAGCGGCATCTGCTTACAGTTCCGATCAATAAGCCAGGCTCCTTTAACTACGTAGATAATACAAAGTACGCGACTAATTGGCCAGAAGCTCCAGCGCCCAGCCCGAGTAAGAGAGACCCACCGGGACTCTAAAATCCCCTATTAATAGGTGGCAGCCTCATCTGGCTCAACAGGTACCCAAGTACCAAAAATAAACGCCGGGACTGTGGCACAAGCGGCGCCGCTCTAGCTAGGCGGGACTGAGACCCCTCGGGCTCCATGCGTGTGCGGTACTTTTACAGCGGGCTGATAAAGCCCTTGTGCCGCTAAAAGGGCGTCTCTCTGGGCCATTAAGAGCACCGGCCGTGCGCCGCAGCCACGTACAGATGCTCGCAGCCGCCGAGTAACGGGACACGCAGCCGGCGCTCAGGTCCATCAGGCGGAAGGAAACCGGCGGTGGTGTTCGGGCGCCCGGGAAATGGCGTGTGCCGGCGGGCCCCAGGTGAGACCCCCTCCTGTGCACATCGTTTGAAGAGAAATTATTTCTTTCTGTGCTCTTCCATGTCTCTACCTCAGCCACGGTGCCTGGAGGCCGCCAGGGCCCGGATCATTACCTGGTCCGCCACGTCTTCAGCGGTGCTCATCAGATCACTGTGGCCCATCTCTCACCAGGCGACGGGGAAACTGCTGACCGTACAGATTCCTATTAGTCTCACTTCGATGGTTTCCCTGCGTTGTGAGGCTCTATCCCAAGCTAAGCTTCCTTGCTCCCTCGCTGCGCCTTTACAGAAGAGCAGCCGCCTCCACCCCACAATGCTCCGCGACGCCCCCGTGGGCTCCCCCTGCCGGCCGCGGTGGCTATAGCATGCCACGTATGCCGACTTGCGAAGAGGCTCCGGGTGCCGATCGTAAGGTGCCCCCATCGTCACATGAGAGTAACAACATGAAATTTGATGAATAAAAATAATCAGAGATTTGTTAGACGACAGAAAAATATTCATGAGACACGTGTGATTTTGCGGGCACTTAACAGGGCGCAATGCTTCGGAATGAGATGCCAGTAATCCTCTTTTTCGTGATACTTTCTATAAATCAGTATAAAAATGTACAAGTATTACACAAACGTTAATTTATCCAGATTTTTTTTTTTACTTTCGTGACGATAGCTTTTTGGAAAGAAAATACCTCTTTTATAATAAAAAATATATAATTTCCACGTTTATATTGTACACGTGTGCGTTTGAAAAATTGCATACAATGTCCCAAATTCACCACTGGTTGGTGCAAAACTTCACATCCATAAAAATCTAAGCAGACTTTCTGACGTAAGACTTTTCAGGTCACATATTTTGGATGACATGAATGATTCTCTAAGCAAAGTAGGTTACAGTAACATTTTGAGAAAACCTGAATGTATGGGATGCAGAACTCCACCTCCATGGTTAGGGATTTGAATCGTGCCTTGGCTCTGTGTGTGGAATTTGCATGTTCTTTCTGTGTAATGTGCGTTTCCTCACAACCCATAAAACACCGTTAGAATAATCGTGTCTGTAAACTGGCCCGAGGATTTGATGGCGTGTACCAGTGTGTGTGTGCCCCGTGACGGACTAGCATCCCACCCAGGATGGGCCCCAGTCTTGCACCCTGTGCTGCCTGGGATTGGCTCCAGGGCAACATGTGACTCTGCTCAGGATAACTGACGGTCGAGGTACTTTCCTACACACTTGTAGATTTCCTACTAATGAAAATCCCTAACAAAGCTTTTGATGAACTAGGTGAGTTTCAAAAATCTACTCTTACAATTTCAACCAATGTTGGAAAAAATTCTTCAAGTAGCTCCATAATAAAGCCTGAATCATCAGCTCTGCTGCCTTGCTACACTAATGTTAAGGATCCCTCACCCACTTATTTATAGTAACCATTGTTCCCCCCATATTTGTCATGCATAACTTCCAAGAACAAAGGTTGTCTTTCTTTATTTCCTGCTACTCTCTGATATATCACATGAAACCTAAAGCTTGAAAAACTGATCAATATGAAGTACTGTGATGAAAATCTGAATAAGGATGATACTACTGCATACATTACTGGAGTCCAACCTTACATATTCTCATTTGGTTGTAACAGGAGGGAGACACTGCATATCATTCTGTACTGGCTGCTGTATTGTATACTGTGGTAACATCTCATCGTCTCATCTCCTTTCTCAGAATGCGGATTTTGAGAAAAGGGTTCAAAATCACGGTTAATCAGGCTGAAGAAACAGCAAAACACCATCAATACATTGCATGCCTTGCCTGCATCAGATTTTATTAAAGTGTGCCTTTGACCTACCAGGGCTGAAAACATTGGTTTATACATGCTTATATTTGAACACCCAGTCAAATTAAATCATACTTTGATCAAGAACCAGCACATGTAACTACAATTTCACACATATTTTCAGTAGAGAATATGAATTTGTATTTAAAACAGGAAATTGTCATATTTAATAATGAATTAAAGTTTCTTCATATGAAATCAACATTTGTATTAATTACTTCATACAGTAGTTTATACAAATAAAAGTCTTGTAAAATACCAAAAATAAGCTGTCAGTAAAAGTACTTAGAAATAACTGTAGATATCCATGTAAAACCATTTTAGAAAGTAGGGTCCTCTATGACTTGTTAAATGCAGCATGTTGCTATGTTTACCCAGTCAGGGATGATGCTGTGAAAAGCCTTATTAAACGTGGCTCTTTTATAAATGGGTACATGTACTGATCAGGACAGAAAATTCTGTGGCTCAGTCTAGCCCAGCATACATAAGAAACGCCAAAAGCTATGCTTTTCGGAAAATGAAAACCCATTTATCACTCACTACAGTAGTGGAAGAACAACATAGAACAAGACACCCAGAGAACTCCGTTATAACACATATCTACAAAAAAAAGTGCTATTATGATGTCATCCTATACTTTTAACAAATTTACAAAATTTCTTCTTTGCACAACGTATTACTTGAAGTAGAAACATCTGTGGTCCCTGTAGCATGACTGACCACAAAGGGCAGGTCCACTACTGTGGCCTGAAGATCATCTTTACAGTTAGTTTCAGCCAGCCAGACTTGTCGGCGAATAGCCACAGAGCAGGCCATGGCCCTACCAGAGAGCTCAGCCTGGTGAGTAGACAGCTGAAGGGTGAACTTTGCTATGAGTTTCAGTTCATTCACAACAGCCACCAAGCGCTGAGGTGGCTGCTCTTCACTCACTTCCAGAAGCAGACGTTTCTGGTAGTCCGATAAGTACCGCAAGTAGTTAGTGGTCCTGGCCAGCATTCCAGCAGTCTGATAGGCTCTCTCTGCAAGTGTTTCAGCAAAGCGCCAGGATTTGGCCGGCCTGGACACTTCCTTGTTCTCCATGGGCGTGATGGCCTGAAAGATGGCTGACATGAAGCTGCTGATCTGGGGCATGCGATCATAGGCTGGTGCCTGACACACATGTAATCGGTACATCTCTGCATGCACTGGCCTGAATGGTTGGGAGCATGCTGGATTAGACCATGTGCTCCGGACTGAGTCTTCAAACTCAGGGACTATTGTGGGATTAGGGTGGTCAGTTGTATGAGGAAAGTCAATTCCTAGATATTTTGCGGCCCGTGCCATAAGCTCCTGCAACTTAACAGCAATCAGCATATCCTTAATTTTAAGGGAGATCTCTGGCAATAGAGATGGGTCTTCCCCATTCTCATTATCAGCCATCTTCTCATTGGCACCTGAAGGAGATACGTGAGGCTGCTCCTGATTTTTCACAGCCAGCTGGATGGATGTCGATTTATCTGGATAGACGTGGTCTTTTTGGTCTTCCTGTATTGTTTGGGTTGCAGCAGAGACTGTAACCAAAGAATCTGTTGTCAGCCTTTCCAAAGCCCCAATTCGCTTCTCCATCACAGCCCATCGTGCTTGCATGCTCTTCTGCTGGGTGTTTAATTCCTGCTGCAGGTTCTCCATTAGCTGCCTTTCCAGTTTGACAGCACATGCTCTCTGCCAGGATGTTGCTCCTCTGGTCGAGGAACAGGAGTCTGATGAATCCCAACAAGGAGAGCGGCACTTGCACTTGTGCCGTTGGTTTCGTTTCGATCGCCTAGTGAACCGGGAATGGGCCTTGGATGAGTGCATCCTTTTATGGGCCTTAGGATCTGGTGGGAAGGGACTCAGTTGGCTCAAGGCAAAGGTGGACTGGAGAGGCTGTGGTAGGTCTCCTGGAGAAGCACAGGTACCTTTGGAGACTGTAAGAGTGGAGGCTGGGGAATTTACAGTGAGTATTACTGGGAATGACAGAGGTTGTACAGGGGAAAGAGGAACCAGTGTGGAGGGAGATGGGGTAGTGATGGGCTCTTTGGTCACTTCTGGAATACCAGTCAGTGCCGTGGATGGAGGGTCACAGCGTGCAGACTCGCATTTGCGTTGCAGCTGGTTCTCCCGGTGCATGAACTCCTGTACATTGGCGAGTCGATTTATGCGCGTGCTCCAGTCCATCTTGGCACAGTGTGGGCACTTGCCATACTCCAGCACAGCCTCCTTGGCATGCTGTATGCCTAAGCAGTGCACGCACAACTGGTGAGTATCCTTAGATAGGATCTTATTTTTGCCACAGGAACACCACGCAAACTTGGGGGTGGTTCCTGCCATGGTGTTCCTGCTACGGTTTTATCTTGCAATTAGATTGTAGATTACCTTGCAATAATAATGGGCATTGGACTACAATTCATATTCGCGTATTGTTTTTTTTTCTCGAACACAGCGTCAACCTCCACAACAAAGAGGGATTCACGGCCAAGATGACATTTTCCAGACCTCGTTTAACCACGTCTATTAACGCCGAAGCAACATTAATTACAACCTGGTTAGCTCTTCAGTGGATTTCTGACTCGCAATTATTTGATAAACTAGTGTAATAGATGTACTGTCTATTTAAATAGCTAACAATGCAGCTAACTAGATCAATGTTTTATCCTGCGTTTAACATCGGCAGCTAAATCATTTAAACTAGGAGCTTCCTACATTCAGTTGGAACAGAGCAGAAATTAAACGGCGGTTAGTTGTCGTATAAGATACCAGTGACCTATTATTATACCTTTGTACGCACATAAGAAGCTGCCAAGTGGACACAGTCTCTTTACCTTTCGTTTACGCTTCGCTGAATCAGAACATGATCCAGCACTGTCGGTTCCAATTACATACGTTGCATTTCTTTCAAACCACGACAGCATTAGACGTGTTTAAACGAGGCCCTGGAGCGACTCCTTACAAATCCCAGAACATCGCATTATTATCAGGCGTCACCTCAAGCTGTGTTCGAAGCACTTCTTCGGCGGTTTCCATACTGAATGTAGTGAATTCGACGTCGCATAGTGCCACCTACCGCTTTGGGAGGGTATGTGTAGAAAATCAGTAATACAAAATTTCCGTGTTAGGCTCGTTTGTTATACACTGGTACAGTTATATACTTAATTTTGGTGTTTGCATTGAATTACCATTTAAATTAACATTTCAAGTAACATTTGCATTTTCTTCATAATTATCCCATTTGATATAAAAACTGGATGTTAATAGTAGGGTTGCCTTAAAATATGGTATATCTAAATATAAATATTTTTGTATGTTGCTGAATTTTTGGTAACTACGACCAGCATTTAAACGTGTGAAATGAACATTGTGTAAAAGTGATGGTTATGTCCACCCCCACCCCCAAAAAAAATCAAGGTAGGCCAAGCATAGAACAAATAATATAACAAAAGTTGTCAAACCCCTTTCGGTGCTAAAAAGTAGAAATCCTGTGGCAGTGAACCAGACGCATAACATTTAAACAACAAAAACTCCTCTTCGACTCTCCCGCCCGAAGCTAATAATGCAGACCCACGCAAACGCCAACGTGCGGTCCATATACTCATGAGGGCAATTTTACTGACTCACGCAATCACTGAAATAAAAAAAGCTTTGCGGGAATAATCACAAATACAACTGCTACTTCCGTACTAGCACGCAAAAATAAGCCTCTCAAAAAAAGATCAAGCTTTCTATTGCAGCTTTCACGGGAAAACAGGTCCCGCGGACACGGTGAAGTTCAGATTCGTCCATCACAGAAAATAACTGCCTATTGAGCTTGTTTGTACTAAAGTGTAATTTACGAACCAGCCAAGCAAATCATACATAATTCGCAAACCTTGCTTTGGACGTATTTCATAAAATGTATGTTTTTAAGTTAGTTATATACAAAGGTTTATAGTGGTCAAAATACACCAAATATTTTTCACTTGACTTCTGAAACCATAGTAATACTTCAAACAAATCACCAAATACTTTAATTAACTAAAATCAAACAAATAATTCCATATGATAAAAACGAAAATGTTTCCATTTTTTGTTTTACAGTTTGAAGGAAAAAAATAAACATTATAGGAAAATAAGTGGTTCTTATGAAAATCATGCCGCTCGGCTCCTGCGTGAGAGCAGCACTGAACTGTCGCTTGATTCAAATGCGTGACTCACCGTATTCCATGCTGAAGACAGCTTAAATATTCACAAATTACCAAACAATCTTAAATCAACATATTAGAAATACCAAGTTCATTCAGTCGTTTCAGGAACGCCTTTATAACCTGCAAGCAAGGAGTAAAACCTCTTTGTCAGCCTCTGCAATACAAACGGGATTATAACTTCAGCACCTTTCTGGATTTGTGTATTGACGTCCAAGCCTGACTGTTACAGGTTGGACTCCAACATCTTCTAGACCATAAATTCATTTTTAATGACCGATTCAAATCAAAGAGCAAAGCACAGGAACTGAGTGGAGCCCCTAGATTAGCTGGATTGGGTGCCTCTATACACGTGGTCTTTTTAGAAGTCAAGCTCATTTTTGAAGAATGGCGTTTAACTACGCAATTACGACATTTATCTAGCAGCTGAATCTAAGTAGTTAGAGGCTATACATCTTTTAAGAAATAAAGGTAAAGGTACATCAAGTATGTAAAAGGTTATTTCATTAATTCATTCTATTATTCATTCAAAAATTCAGTTTCCCAATTGCAATGTAATTAACAACAAATAGTTATGTGTATCACACTACTTTAATGGCCCCAAACCAGAAATGATGTTCTTTCCCAGTTTCTTATTAGAATAAGTTAAATTGATTTACTTTGCCAATTTAAGATTGGGAGTTCAGGTATGACAAATACTTTTATGTAGAGAGCACTTTATAATTACCGAGAGTCACTGTTATCAGGCTACACTACGCTATCCACCAAAGTACTGACAGTAGTTGTAGTAAACCAGTAAAAAGCAGACGATTCTCATTACTGGTGGTGGTCATCTGATTTTCAGGACAACGCTGATGGTCTCCATAGAAAGCTAGAAAAGAACTTCTACCTGCACAATGAAAGAAAGGCACTGGGCGCGTGAAAACGTTAGCAGTGTGGAAGTCCGCCATCTCCTCTCAGTGAGCCACCCCCTTGGAGTTTCCCAATGCGGACACTCAATACCTCCAGCAGTCACATACACTAATTATTCATGTTTGACTTCACTGTTGGGAATGACTGATAGCACGAGTAGGATGAAGAGCAGCTCGTGTTTCTCCAAACGTCTCCCAAGAGCAGAACATCTCCAAGCTATAAAATGCTCTCCTAACCATCGCTCAAACACTCATCGCTAAAACACTACTCTGCTGGAATCAGTTTCAGGGAGCAGAAATGTCAGGGGACTGCGGCCGAGTGATACTCCTCTTACATTTTACATCTTAAATGAAAACCTGGGACATTTTTATTCACAGTTCCTGAATTCCCTGCCTGAGTGCTGAGAGATAACAGCAAGCTGGACTCCGAAACATTACACTCCACGTTCAGACAACAGCAGAATCAACATCTTTTTTTTTTTTTTTTCCAGAAGCTTCTTTTTAAGTAAAACGGTGACCGGTCATATGGATGGACCTTCCGTTTGAATGCGCCTACTTCTAAAGTTCACAAAAAAGCATGCAGCTCAGTTCAGTGAGTGCGTCTCCCTTCCCCACCAACGCTCTGCATCACACTGAAGATGAGCACATACATGAACTGGGAGTTACATGCAATACTTCTTTTCTTCATCACACTTCAAGGTTTCAGTCACGCTAGTAAACTAAACCATGAGGATTACACCTCCATTCCCTTTGAATTGTAAAATATACCCAGTGAACGGGTCCATTAAAATCGACAGGCTTCTCCTTCCTGTATTAAAAATCTATTCGAAAAGTCCTTAATAGCAGATGCAGGTTATACACAGCTTCCCGGTTCGGCGGTTGGTGTGTCAGTCGATGGGCTGCGTGTTGGCGAGGATCCGTCTTTGTCCTCCCCCAGTGACCCATCAGAAATGCCCTGTAATGGTGGTGGAGATCTGTGCTTGCAGCTCCTGGCTCAGCCAGCCTTAGCGTCTCCGCGAGGTCCTGGCTGACCTCCTCCTCGAAGCTGCCTGTTTGCGTCCTGCGGCCGGCTTGTCTTCAGCCACAGATTCGGCCTCCCCCACCTGATCCTCCTGCTCTCCCGCTGCTGACCTCTCCTCCCCATCCACATCCTGGCCAGTGGCATCTGGCTGTGGATCTGCCTGGGCCAGATCTTTCTCTACTCTGTTGCCCGTGATGAGAGGGGCCCCTCCCTCGGAAGTCTCTGCTCTAGCTGTGAACTTGTCCTCCTCAGACCCTACTGGCTCATTTATAGCAAGCTCAGGTATCTTCTCTTTGGAGCAGGTTCTCACAGAGGCCTGTCTGGTGACAGAGGGGTTTGGCAAAACAGCATCACTGCAGCTCCGGCTCTCCAAATGCAGCACTGCGCCTTGTCTGGAACCATCTGGCTTTTCAGGTGCGTCATCAGGACTAGCTGAGGATATGCGGCTCACGAGAGTGCTGCAATCCGAGGCGGGCGTGGTGCAGCCATCACTCATCTCGCCACTAACCTTGTCCTTCTCATCGTGTGCGATTTCATCTTGGGCTCCGTGGTCTTCTGTTGTGCTTCTGCAGCTTCCTGACTCTGCTGGATCCTCTGTGACATTGTCCTCCTGATTTCTTAAAGCCCTGTACTTCTGTTAGGGGAAAAAACAAAGAAATACAGAACATTTTTAAAAAGAGCTTGTTTAATGACGTTAAGGTTTCTCAATGAAAAACAGAACATTAATCCAACCACACACAAAAAAAAAAAAATGACGTCCCACAGGCCTGTCTGTACAGACACCTTAGGGCAGTACACACCCCTCCACATTAAATGCAAGGTTTTAGTGAATGTTATTCACTATATCAAACATCAGATGCATTCGTATTTGTCCCTCCTTATCCAAGTCTCACCACCCAGCATTTACTCAGTGGAGACAGTTCTCTGCAGTTCACTCATACTTTAAGAACATAAGAACTATACAAACGAGGAGGCCATTCGGCCCATCGAGCTTGCTTGGGGAGAACTTAACTAATAGCTCAGAGTTGTTAAAATCTTATCTAGCTCTGATTTAAAGGAACCCAAGGATTCAGCTTGCACTACATTATCAGGAAGACTATTCCATACTCTGACTACACGCTGTGTAAAAAAGTGCTTCCTTAAATCCAGTTTGAAATGTTGTCAGTACACGACAATAAAAACTTTGATTCCTTGAAATACATGTATTTGATCTTTTCACACAGGGCCACTATACACAATAGGATCAGGAGTTGGTTATTGGAAAAGAAGTAATGTGCATGCAGGTGATATTTGTATAGATTTATCTACACCCTTCTGACAGTGCGGCCATTGCAG